AAACAAATGCAGCCGACTTTGTGTAGAGATATTATCAAACGTCATTTTCATATGTTCATTAAGTGGGCATTCATAGCTCTCCACAATTTCCCTAACCCAAGACATGTTTGACGACGCATGAATTAATGCCTATCCGGCTTTGGGTGGAAGTAACTGATCAGGCACGCAGTAACACTACAGCCACACCATCTGGTGTGACTGACAACCATGATGAAAAATAAATATTCCGATCAAGTTTAAAGGGTTATCGCAATATATATATATATATATATATATATATATATATATATATATATATATATATATATGTATATATTATGAAATGGAAAAGTCCGACAATTATTTTAAGACATAAAAACAAAAAGGTTTAATATATATATATATATATATATATATATATAAAAAAATGTCTTAAATATATATATATATATATATATATATATATATATATATATATATATATAATATATATTTAATGTACCATTACAATAATTTATTTACCAAAAATAATTTATTATATATATATATATATATATATATATATATATATAATAAAAAGCTTAAACACTAATATTTCATTCTTTTTTACTGGTTCGGTTTGGTTTACAGCATATCAACCTCAATGGGTTATTTAATGCCAACAATTTTTTTTTTATTGCTGGCAATATTTTCTTTCAAGATAAACTGTAGGTGGTAAAATCTTTTTTTTCTAAAAATGTATTGCTGGTAATATTTTTTTTACAAATTATTTCTGGTATGTGTTAAAACATATTCTTATACTTTCATAGTGTTTTGACCCCAGTTTGGGTGTCAAGTATATGCCCCTAGCCTGGACCCTAACAGGTGCTACCACCTTGGTTCTGGGTGGACCTGGGAACATTAGCAATTAAGGGGTGGTTCCACGATCCTCAAAACCTCCTGATCAGAGACCTTGCTGCTGGATGTAGTTTATCGTCTTACCCAGGACGGCCCTGTTTTACTGTTGAACTAACAAGATGAAACCGTCTGTTCTTTTCCAGTAGATTCTATTCTTGCACTTCCTCTATGTGGAACTCTCGATTTTTTTTGTCTATATTTCTGAGATGAGGTACGCTATTTACATTATTCGGACTAATGTCCTCATCATTGTCGCCATATTTATCACAACGTTTCGGCCGTTGTACGCTCTGGCCTTCTTCAGGTGGTTGGAATTTCGAACTGAACCCTTTATTTCGCTCACTGGGGTAGACTGTTCTAGTTCCACGTACCATGTTTTTGATGGATGTCATTTATCTCCTCCTAATTTCCCTCTGAAAGTTCTCCACTGCCTTAACCGGGTATTGAACTCACACTCTTTATCCTCAAGGACACATGGCACAGTCGATAAAGGCGTTGGTTAGATCTAGTGACAGGTTTGTTTGTTTTTTATTTGCTTCCTTGTTACCTACAATCTTCAGTAATTTAAATCTAACACCAATCGCGATCTTCAGTCTTTCCAGAACCATGTTTCTTTATTGTTCTTTTTCTCACTTCACCTCAATATAATTTTCTCATTCTCTTTCAGAATCTGACAACCTGTTCGTCTTTGTGTCTTGGTGGTGAAAGAATCCCAATATATCTCTCTGTTAGAGAAGCCTGTTCTTCACTTTGCCAACTTGACAGAGTTCAAAATCGATTACACGACTTTGTGCGAGATGGTTTATTACTTATCCTGCAGTCCCTTTTCTACATATGACACATCGCTTGCACATTGCTAGTTTTTCATTACTTCAATGGAAAATGGTCAGACGTGCTCCATTCCTTACTGCAACCAGGCCAAACATTTACAGCCAAGAACCGCCTTGCTAAATCTACCTGCTTGAATCACCCCCAGTCCTTACGTATTCCATTGATACTAAAGATGTTCCACTCAGGAAGCAACTTTGTGAAACAGACTCCTGCGGGGTTACTTCCCAAAATTATTACAAAATTAATCGCCTCCAGTCTTGGGTCAATTTTGATACCTCCTGAATATCTTCATGAATTTAACTTATTATTTCTTTTTATGCCGATTTTCTAAGTATAACTTATATATGACACAAGGTCAACATTTTGGAGAACTCTGTGAGGGTCAAATTCTCTACTCAGTCAAAATTGATCTCGCGATGCAAGCTTGTTAACCGTCACACCACTTCGAAGTGGCCACGAAATAAATTTATATGTAAGAGATACTAAGTTAAGATGTAAATCACTCTTGTGATAATGGTATGGGAGACGAGCTACTTAACCATCGTTCCGAAATTGAAAAGACATGCTATAGAATGTCCACAGTTCCTGCTTTTAAAACTGATCTCATATTGACTCACACATTATGCGTTCTGTTTGCAACAGACACGGTGCGCGCAAGATGCTCACAAACCTTCCTTGGAGCGCACAAATTACTCATTTAAACACACGTAATAGACGCGCAAACACAAAAAAATACAAACATACACACATCTCCACTTCCAGCATCATCATTTCTTTATTGAACGAAAAAGATGTTTCTAATCACAATATTCCCAGGGCTTCCACAGTTTCACCTCTTAAGGTCTCTTAAACCAGTCATCACTGACTTGTCCCAGCAACGAATCAGGCGGGTAACCGATTGATGCCGGACGCCCAGGGCTATATATGGCTTCATTTGCCTGTGTCTACACCCTGGTCGTAGTTCGTGGATTCCATACAAACGTTGCCCCTAAAAATACCTCTCTTCATCAGTTGGCTAAAGCAGCCAGTAATGGAGTTCCGTTGGAAAAAGAATGCCCCGAAGTGCTGTCTGTGTGTACTTAAGCCTTGAGTGGGTAAATATGAAAGGTTGGTTTAGACATCTCCATATCCGATCTGTTTTGAATTTGGTTCGGGCTGTACATCCCGATATATGAGTGTGAATGCATGCGAGCGAAAGCTGCTTTTCATATATTCGTCAAAGTATGTGGGCGCACAAGATAACACACTGAATCACTTACGTAGTGAAAAAGACACGATAAATATGTGTGAACGCTCATACATAATGATGAGGGCATTCTAACAATCAAACCTACACACACAAACATACATACCTACATATATATATATATATATATATATATATATATATATATGGGAATGTATCACTATTTATTTCGCCTTCATATATATATATATACCGGGTGTAGCAGCAAAATTGTCCAAATCGTGTTAAAGCAAAATTGTACACTTTTTACATTAAGCTCAGAACCGTTATATCTTAGAAATGTTTAAAGATATCTCTAATGGTATTCTTCGAGATTTTTCTAATACTATTTTACTCTATATTGAATAAAAATTATGTAGAATTACTCTCCAAGCTTAACAGAAGAATCGTGATGAAATTGGCAATAATATATCCATTATTAATTCATTATAGTTAAGTTAAGGATGGGAAGCTTATGAAGGAATGAATAAAAGTTCATATATAAATATAAACGTGAACACTGAAGTCAACACTCAGAGATGACAGGCTGTTTCATGCTGCACGCAATCGTCAGGTCACATGTGTACATGTTCTGTGTCATATATATATATATATATATATATATATATATATATATATATATATATATAAAAATCAGCGGTGACAGAACATATATTTATATTTACATACGTTGTATCTCTGATATCGAACACTTTATCCCATAAATATAGCACATTTTAAAGCTATATATATATATATATATATATATATATATTTCAGGATCATTTTCCAACTAATTCAAGATTATCTTCACCCTCTCTAAACTTCTAACTTTCTGTCCTGGAGTAATGGGGTGCCTCACTGGTTTCAACTACGATTTCATTTTTATGTCTTTTTCACTGTCATATGTGTATCTACTCTCTCGGGTGCCAAAGGTATTATGGATTGAGTTGGATCATTTTGATCTCTTTAGCTTTAAGTTGGTTTGATGATCTACCTTCTTGTTGTGACCTCCTGATCCATTTTTCTTCTCTATTTTTTCCCTTATTTAAACTTATTCACCTATCTCTGGATTGTTCTTGATTGCATTTGAAGATGGAAGCCAGATTATGAATATCAGTACCATTATTGTAGGCCTGAATGTTCTTTTTTCTCTCACCATTTCTCTTTTGGGAAGACACTGGCTCTGGTATAAAACGATTTTAACCCATTCTCTCTTTAGCTGAATAACTCAAAGGGCTTTTCAGTGTTTCTTACGATGAAGACATGGACAAAAGAAATACAATAAGTTCAGTGGATTTTAGATATTAAAAATTCTGTGGGAAAAATAATTATGTTTTTACACAATTTAGACTAATTTGCTGTTATATCCGATATATATATATATATATATATATATATATATATATATATATATATATATATATATATATATACAAGGTAACCAAAAAGTTCTGTCAGTTTTTTGATTAGTCATTGAATGAAGTTGAAATATATACGAAATGCGTGTAGCAATTGTTTTCAAATTCGGACAGCCGGAATTAGGAACATCAGACGTTATAAAAAACACGCGCACTGTGCCCGGCCATCAGTTATAAGCCGGGCAGCTGTTAGAAGGATGGAAGTGTCTAGAGATCTCGTTCAGGGCTGTATGCTTTACGACTTCAAAGTGGACTTATCAGCAGCTGCATCAAGTCGCCGCGTATGTCAAGCATTTGGGGATAGTGCTGTGGATGAACGTACTGCAAGGCGTTGGTTTCGAAAGTTAAAGTCGGGAGATTTGTCTCTCAATGATGTGCCTCGCAGTGGACGACCACTGAAGGCGACCATTGAAGAGGACAGTAGTCTAACGTGTGGTGAACTTGCAAGACAGTTCAACGTTTCCGATGAAACAGACTTCACCTGCACCGCCGAGGTAAGACGTACAAACTGAGAAAGTGGGTTCCGCAAACGCTGTTGGAGGTCCACAAGGGACAACGAATGGCAGCCTGCGTATCGCTGCTTTCTCGCCACCGTACCGCATCCTTATTCAATCGAGTGCTTACCAGTGATGAAAAGTGGGTTCTGTACGAATCTCCCAAGCGTTCCAGACATTGGTTGTCTCCTCAGCATGCTGTCCCTCACACCGCAAGACCGCCTATGCACCCACGCAAGATTATGATTTGTGTCTGGTGGGCAGGTCAAGTGGTTCATTATGAACTGCTATCAACGGGCCAAACGGTCACTGGAGACCTATACTCGCAGCAATTGAAACGTGTGCAACAGGCATTGCGCCAGAAGGAGCCAGCACTGGTGAATCGCAAAGGTGTGCTTTTCCTCCATGACAACGCCAGGCCGCATGTCGCGCGAGTGGTCAGGGATAACCTACAGCAACTTGGGTGGGAGACCTATTTACCTGACCTTGCGCCATCCGATTACCACCTTTTCCACTCCCCGGATAATCACAGACTTCTTTGCGCCCAACCCGAGTTCTACCGCAAGGGCATTGAACAACTGGAGACACGTTGGCAGAAGGTGCTGGATGCCGATGGCGATTACTTCGAAGACTAAATATAAGTTACACATACTGTGAAGCGTTTTCTTTTTTTCCTTTAAAAACGGACAGAACTGTTTGGGTTACCTTGTATACACACACACACACACACACACACACACACACACACACACACACACACACACACACACGATATTGAGTCACCCCCCCACGAGAGTGTCATGTGGCACAAGGCCTTTTTAACGTGGGCATTCCCGAGCCATTAGCCTCGGCCAAAAAATAGCCCATTTGAACCCGTATAAACGGGTTCAGGGCCGGTTTTACCTCCCCGAAGGAGGCTACGCCGAAGGGCGCAGTCTCCTTCGGATTCCTCCCGCCCGTAGGAAGAGAGTTCAAACCGAGCAGTCTGTTCAAAAGTGAACGACTGACTGACTCACACACACACACACACACACACACACACACACACACACACACACACACACATATATATATATATATATATATATATATATATGTATCAAATATGTAGTGCATTTCAATTTATATTACAATCAATTATTCATACAAAAAGTAAATTAGTAAAGTTAATGATATAAAATGGCGAATCCCTTCGCTAACAAAGTTTTAAAGAATTAACCTAGTAACCAGTCGATGAATGTTATGATACTTGTTTTTTTTTTAAATTATAAGTTGTATGAGCTAAAATACGCAAGTACTTATTCAGTCATCTTAAGTCAGGGAAATTATTTTGTTTTTGTAAAATTCAGGCAGCATCCGAGACGAAAAATATAATGCGAATCGAATTTTTTTTTTTTTTAAATGCGTTATTGATATCGGGTGATACATGAATTTTACCAAAAACAAAATAATTTCCAAGCCTGAAGATCTGCTGCTTGACAAAGCCTGTACGCCCAAAACCTCCATCACGATGACTTGTGATTTCGTGCTATTACAACCATCGACGGCTTTCGAACAGATCCAACTACCCGATTTCACTCACAAGGCTGAGGTCAACTAAGGGATGACTTTGAGGTATTCGGCAAAAGTTGCCATAGGCTAGTATCGCCCTACAGAACTCATATCATGAAGACATCAGATTCGACTATGTATGTGTGTGTGTGTGTGTGTGTGTGTGTGTGTGTGTGTGTGTGTGTGTGTGTGTGTGTGTGTGAGAGAGGTTTAGCTTGAAGATTGCGTCCAAGCACTAAACGGACTGTCACTGCTCGGTAATCTGGTTCAGCCACTGAGAACTTCCGGTTATTCAAAGTTCGTAATAATGCTTTTAAACACACATTTTCACCAATCTTTCTCGGTCTATTATATCTGGTTTCGTATTTTAACGTTAACAATGGCAACAGAAATTAACCGGAAATTCTCTGTGGATTTACGGTTATACCACTCTAGACTTAATGGTGGTTCCTCATCAGGATGTAGGTTCGATTCCTGGCGGTAAATTCAGGCCAGTAAATACAATTTATATCGTTTAATAAAAGAACAGAGCATTTGCTTATATAAATAAGTGTATCCATAAAAATAACGTATAAACAGAAAATATATAATATATTTGTCGTATTTAAACGATTTCCTAAGATATGTTGTTTACGTTAAGATACGGATATATATATATATATACACGAGGGAAAGGGAAAGGCGATCCAGACTTTCGCCATAACATATCTTTAGAAATGATTGCGGATAAGTGATATATATATATATATATATATATATATATATATATATATATATATATATATAAAAAGGAATATAATGTAGTGGTTCCAACGAGAGAAAAGTATGTATATTAAAAAGAAGAGAAGAGAGGTGCCGCTAACGTTTTTGGTTGTAATCTGGATTTATTTAGAAAAAATATTATACTTTGTTTTACATAATTTTACGACACGTGTTTCTGGTCTCGAGAACGTCTTCAGGTAAAACTGGAGATTTCCACATATTATTAAAAATAATTAATTTTTCCTCATGTTCAATGTTAAATATTCTCGATATGAGACATTTTTTGTTTGTGTGTTGGTAATCCGAATTTCCTTCTTGGATATATATATATATATATATA